AAAAAAAAAAAAAAAAAATCAAGTTCATATATGAGTGTTAAAAATGAAAAAAAATCCTGCTTCCCAGTCTCAAATGAACATACCTCTCATGTATGTAGTCAACTCCCAGTAACAGCTGGATAAACCATTCTATTATTTGATTTTCTGGAAAAGTTTTTCCAGCTTCTTTGTATTCCTGAATTTTACAGTCCAGATCTCGGCCCTGAAACAAAAGAGCATAATTTCTTATGTTTTGAGGAGATAAGATTTTATAACCAAGTTCTCCAGCAACAACCAATATATACAGCAGTCTTTGTTATAAGAAAATGAGTGCATACCACAACTTGAATGATCACTCAAGGATAAAACACTTCTATGGGAAAAAAATTATCAAAACACCTCCACCTTAAATTATTTTTTATTACATTACCTAAATATGTACACTTATAAAACTAAGAATAATTTTAGGTATACTTAGACTGGGCAATCTACTTCCATAAAGATTTACTGCCTCAGAAACCCAAAGGGTTTTTTTTTTTTTTGTCAGAATGGACTCGACGGCAGTGAGTTTGATTTTTTTTTTTTTTGGCTTAGAGTTTTATATAATTATCAAAACAAACCCAACTCACTGCTCTTGAGTAGATCCTGACTTATAGAGACCCCTCCTTGGGTTTCCAAGGCAGTATCTCTATGGAAATAGATTGCCCAATCTTCCTTCTGAGGAGTGGCTGGTGGGTTAGAACCTAATACCCAAAAACAAACTCACTTCTGTTGAGTCGTTTTACAACTCATAGTGACTGCTCCTTGGATTTCTTCCTTCCGAGGAGTAGCTGGTGGGTTTGAACCACCAGCCTTCTGGTTAATAGTCAAATGCCTTAGGCACTATGCCACCTGAGAACTGTAATATATATAAGTATAAATTAAATAGACAAGTATAAATTAAAATGTAAAGCCAATAAAATTCTAGTATTAATTTAATATTTATTTTATTAAAATATTTAGTAAGTAATTTAATAAAAGAATGACAATGTTTTGTTCATCTGACAATGAAATAAAATTATACTGTACATATGGTACTGACAACTGGCTCATTAGGGTTTGACATACCAAAACTATTATGTATCTTTTTAAAACTTTTTTTATTTTTTATAAGCACATCTCTTTATTAAGGAGCTCTGGTGGTGTAGTGCCTAAGTCATCTGACTGCTAACCAGAAGGCTGGCAGTTCAAACCCACCAGCCACTCCTTGGAAGGAAGATTGGGCAATCTACTTCCATAATGATACTGCCTCAGAAACCCAAGGAGGGGTCACTATGAGTAGTACCTGACTTGACAGCAATGAGTTGAGTTTTCTCTTTATTATTATTTTTTCTTTTTTATTGTGATTTGGGTGAAAGTTTAGAGAGAAAATTAATTTTCTATACAACCCTTTATACACATTTTGTTTCATGACGTTGATTGCAATCCCCACAATGCAATAGCTCTCTACCCATTTCCTCCCTGTGGTTACCTTTTCCCTGTGTCTTTCTTTTGTATGCATTCATACCCTCTGAGCTATCTCCCTGTGCAAACGCTGCCCTTCTCATATCCTATGGTTGATCAAGTATCTTGTAACAACTTAATTCTCATTTTCCCTATTTAGCTATAGTAAAACCTGTGAAAGTTGGAACCTGTGTAAGATGGAAACCTGTCAGAGACGGAATACTCAAATATTTTTCATTAGAACAAGTGATTTAAAAAAAAAAAGTGTAAGGAGCAGGATCCAAGATGACAGACTAGGCAGATATACTACCCAGATCTTCTACAATAAAGACTCAAGAAATGAAGTGAAATGGATACAGATGAAAATCCTTGGACCCAAAACCTCAAAAGATAAGGATAAAGAAGTAAAGCAAATAAAAAGAGACTTAATGAAAACAGTGAACAAGGAGTGGTAAACTGCCAACTAGCACAGTGCAGCCATTGTGAATTATTGCAAGCAGCATTCCAACTGAAGCAGGAACCAGATAACCAACTTAACACTTGCCAAGGAATGCATCAGCACCCACATTAGTGACTAGAATGTAGTTGGGAGCCAGTGATCCTACCCAGCCATACCCAGCCACATCTTCTGCCCCACCTACTAGGCAAGTACCACCAGCCACTCCTGCACCACTGGACTGATGACAGACAGTAGCCAATACCTGCCCTTAGCTCTTATGCACAATCAGGATCAGAGAGTTGCACCCACTGTCCCACATGCTACCAAATCCACTTGAAGACTCATAGTGAGCACCTTGGTAGTGTCTAACTAGCAAACAGAGTAACACACCCATCCTGTTACCTAGATATATTTAAACAAATCAAAAGAAAAAATCAGGGTGAAGCAAACCAACACATAATCAACAAATTAATACAATAATACCACAATGCCTTGCAGACAACAGGCAACTACTTCAAAACACACATACACACACACACACAGGACAAGATAGCTCAAACAATTCACAAAGTATAGGACCAGAATATCTTCCAGAGGGAGAAATACTATTGTAACTACCTGGTAAGGAATTCTAAACAATTATATTAAGGCCATGTGTCAATTTGGCTGGGCTTGGTTGAGTGGCTAGGCAGCTAGATATAGTTATTCCCCATGTTGAGGTTGGTAATCAATTCCATGGTGGAATCTACAAGAGCAGCTAAATAGCTGCTTTAGGGATGTGGTCTGCTTCCAGTATATAAGAAGTAGCTTTGAGGAAGGTCTGCAGTTTTTGGCACACTTGAGCCCTGCATGCAGCTGAGTCTTCATTCAGCAGCCTGCCATGTTGATAATGCATGAGAAGGGCAAAGGAGTGGAATTCAATCAAAGGAAGACAGAATTAACAAGACTGAAGACAAACCTCTTAATACTAATTTGTGAGAACAATCAAAAAAAGAATGGGGGGCGCGGAGTATGCTTAAGAATTATGTGGGACACCATCAAGAGGAATAACATACATGTGTTCAGAATTCCAGTAAAAGAAGAGACAAAAAAAAAAAAAAATCACTGACAAAACTGTTGAAGATTTGTTGGAAGAAAACTTTCCTAATATCATGAAAGATGAGATGTACATTCAAGAAGCTCATCCCACCCCAAATAGGATAGACTCCAAAAGAAAATAACCAAGACAACTCATAATCAAACTTTCCAAACCAAGCAAACGCACTGCCATCAAGTCAATTCTTACCCATAGTGACCTTAAAGGACAGACTAAAATTTCCCCATAGGCTTTCCAAAGCTGTCATCTTTACAGAAGCAGACTGCCTCATCTTTCTCCCATGGAGTAGTTGGTAGGTTTGAACCACTGATCTTTTCATTAACAGCTGAATGCTTTAACCACTGCACCACCAGAGCTCCTTTACAAAACTAAGGCAAAGAAAGAATCCTGAAAAGAGCCCAGGAAAAAGGAAAAGTTACCTACAAAGGGGAACCAATAAGATAGCTGATTTCTCAGCATAAACCATACAGGCAAGAAAGCAATGGGATGACATGTATAAAACCCTGAAAGAAAAAATTGCCAACCAAGAATTACATATCCAGTAAAACTGTCCCCTAAGTACAACCATGAAATTAGGGCATTCCCAGATAGAGAGAAATTGAGGAAATTTGTAAAAAGCAGACCAAACTTACAAGAAATGCTAGAGTCTTTCAGACAGAAAACCAACTATGGAAGACAACAAACGGAGATTAAGACACACGACACCACCATACAGAAATCAACCCAGATACGGAAGTATCAAAAATGAAATAAACCTACAAGATTGATGTTCTGATTACCTAATGCCACTCTGACAAGAATATACCACAAATGGGATGGCCTTAACTAGCAGGAGTTTATTCTTACAATTTGGAGGCTTTAAGTCCAAATTCAAAGTGGCAAGCTCTACGGGCTGGGTAAAAGCCCTTCAGCCTTGGGCTTCAGCTCTGCCTCCAGCTCCTGGTCAACTGAAGCTAGAGGCTTTTCTTCACTCAGCTGCTGAGGCTGCCAAGTCCAAGGTTGACAAGTAACAAGGTACAGTCCCGATATATGAAATCACATGGGAGGCCATTAATTCAAGTCCATTTTAAGTCCCAAGGTGAGCAGAGCATGGCAGGCTGCTGAACAATGACACTGCTACATGCAGCATTCAAGCGTGCTATAAACTGGAGCCCATTCCCAAAGCTGCTTCTTATATACGGGAAGCAGACCACATACCCACAGCAGCTACTCAGCTCCTTGTGGTAGATCCCACCATGGAGTTGACTGCCAGTCTCATCATGGGGAATAACCACCACCAGCTGCCCAGACACTCAACCAGGCCCAGCCAAATTGACACACAAACATAACCACCACAATTGAAAATAGGGAGCCAAAGATAACAATTTGTAAATAATAGTAACTACAAAGCAAAAAGAGGAAACAAATGATGTAGTAACACAATTTTCAAATGGAGACCAAGTCAAGACAGTATCAAGATAGAATAGCCTGTTTTAATATGAGAAGACAATAATAAATTCCAGGGTAACCACAAATAAAATTAACAAACCTCATCAAAATAAAAAAGAGGAAAATCATAAAGTCTCAACAAACACTAAAACAACAGCAACAAAAGAAAGGATAAGAAAATCCATAAACAAATGAACTCAGCACAGAAAATATATTGAACAAAGGAACCATCAATACCACACACACACACACACACACAAAATGACAGTAGTAAATTCATACCTAGTAATAATTACACTGAATGCAAATGGATCATATGCACCAGTCAAGAGACAGGCAGTTGCAAAATGGATTAAAAAAACATGACCCATCAATATGCTGTCTTCAAGGGACACATTTCAGACAAAAAGACAAAAACAAACTAAAAGTCAAAGACAAGAAAACATATATCTAGCAAACATCAACCAAAAGAGAGCAGGAGTGGCAGCATTAACTTCAAATAAAATGGATTATAAGGCAAAAACTGGCAGCAGGTTTAGAGCAGCCTACAGGAGGCCAGGCAGGAAGCGAGGGGGCACGGTGGGTTTGGAGCAGCCTGTAGGAGGCCAGGCCGGGCGAGAGGTGGTGCGGCGGGTTTGGAGTGGCCTGCAGGAGGCCAGGAAGTGAGTGGAGCAGTTTGGAACAGCTAAGAGAAATGAACTTGTCTGTCAGTTTGTTGTACCATGGTAGTTGTTAAGACAGACTCAGAAGAAGGAAGAGGCCATCCACCTCTCAAAGA